GGGTTTCAGAAACTATTACTTTATGTAGACGGTGATTTTTAAATGTTCCATGGTCGGTTCACTAAGGGACTTGAAGAGTTCAAACCTTGCAATCATGACCCTGCCTAGTAGCCGATAAAATCTATGTCAAAGAGTGTTGCCTGATTTATTAAATACATCTCTTTTAGGCTTCTGAATTATCTACAAAATGAAATATAAATCCTTTTACCATTTATACTTTCAATTTCACACTATACATTATTTTGGAATTGTTTCTTTACAACAACTAATGAGTGGAAAAAATAATCCTTATTACGTGATTCGACAATACAGTATATGATTCAAAAATTATTGAAAGTTGAAAAACTGAACTATGAATATCAATGAAAGGTAGACGTGGAACCTCTGGCGTAGAATGAATCCAAACGAAACACTGTTCCTAAAACCAGAAGTGCAACAGTCTTCTCGAAATGTGTTACACCAACCAAGTTGTCACCTTCAGGAGATGTAATAGATAACTTGTTGAAACATGCATCGAAAAGAGTTTTGCAGATCTGGTGTTTGAGAAAAATGCCTTACTATGAATATCAAAATCTAATTGATAAGATAAAATATATACCTGTAGTTACAAATTTAAAGTTTTTATTAAAAATAAAACATACATTTATTCCATAAATTATCTGTTAACAAAAAAAAACGATATTTATTGAACTTTTCAACAAATGATCTTCATCTTACATTTCTAAGTCAATTGCATTCATTTAAATGGCTGCTCAATATTATATTTTCAAAAATAATTGGAAATTCTGAAAGAAAATGATTGAGTAGCTGCATATGACTGAAATTATCTTACATACAGTAAGATATATTCCTCTCAAGACAAAGAAATCTCATTAAAGAAAAAAGTTACTAAAGTTAACTTCTCTGATATTTTTCACCGATTCCTAAATAAACATTATTTTATCACAAACAATATTTTATATAGCTTGAAAACAAAAAGATCAATCCAACTATCAATCTCTTTTGTCTCCTTCATTTGAATGATCAGTCTATCAAAACTATTTCAGAACATTTACATATAGAAAATTAAAATTCAGTCATCTAAAATGATAACGTCACATTTCTGATCTTCAATAACCAAGACATCATCATCAATTTCTTCTATCTCTTGTTTATGTACCAACTGAATTTCCTGATCCTCTAGATGAGTTATGGTACCATTAACTTGTATGGGGCTCTTATGAACGTTTTCACTAGTTCTACTTATATTATAGTCCTGTGAAGTTGGGGATTGGGAATTTGTAGTAATGGTATTGCCATCATCTTCAGATTGAATGTCAACAACTGTATTATCGATAGGAGGAATAGATTCAGTAACTGCAATTGCATGTTTTATGCTTTTAGAAGAAATATTTTCAACATTTTGAATTACTTTATCCTGATTATCTTTCAATTGTTCAACATCTTTAGTAACTTCCATGACTTCTTTAGTTGCATTCTTGATGCATTCGGTTACCTTAGGTATAACTTCAGCAACAACTTTATTTACACAATCTGATATGCCATTATTATCAATATTTTTGTCCATTGACTGGTCATTTTTTGTACTGGCTGAATTGTCTGCAGGATATTCACTGAATTCAGTCTGCATACAATTTGCAATGTCAACATACTCTAAATCATCATCAGGATTATAATCAGCATCATCTTTATCTTCATATTCATCTTCCTGTACTTCAGTTTCAGGTTCTAGTAAACTACTATCTATTTCTCCGTCAGCACGTTTCTTTTGTTTTCGTTCTCTTTTGGGTTTGTAAGGATGATAGTGTTCATCATTTTCATCTTCCTGTATCAGAGGTGCCAAAAAATGACCTTCATCCATATCACTGTTGCGACGTTTCGGTTTCCTCCCACGTTTACTTTNGTCTACTTAAGAATCATATATATTGCAAGGAAACAATGGTAGATGGTGAAATGTTGGTAAAAGTTATTATTTTTTTTGCAAGTTCATTCGCGTCTGCCTATACTTAAAATATTGCCAATTTGTATGCCAACATTTGTCGCAGGACATTTTAATTATGGAACTTTATTACATTCAAGAGGCAGACGGTAAAGAATGGTTCAGAGACACAGAACACAGGCAGACGGTAAAGAATGGTTCAGAGACACTGTAAAATAATTGTTGATTGACTAATGCCTAAAATTATTAATACACAGGCAAACCGTCTGCCTTGTGAAAATTCGTTCATTTCATGCTACTGGCAGTCTAGGCTGTGCTTGACAGACGGTAAAAAATTGATTTCAGTTAACCATTTTTTTTTATTGAATAAAAATTCATGTTTTAGCCGGAACACCATATAACCATCTGCAATTATTTTATCTGTGGGTTGTGTAACCTAGCCTTCCGGTCGCATGAATGGCAGACGGTAAACTTGTTGTCGAAGAAGCTTTTTTATGCAAACTAGAGTTGATGTTTAAGCATGTGTAACATGGGAAAAAATCGTTCAATGCTTAATACTGTTACTTGTAGCTGTAAATATGTCCTCTGAAAAAGGCAGACTGTAAAAATTGGGGTCAAAATTTCTGTCACGGGCTCCCGGTCTATATGAAGGGATGTTGGGGTATCCCAAAAATATATGAGTACCTAAATGAATCTGAAAAGTCATATATGTGCATCATAGGCAGAAATGAGTTCACGCGAGGACATGACTCTTAATGTGACTTCTTCTCATATTTCCATATTGAGATGG